TTACCCAGTGAGGATGGACCCCTTCTTCAGTGACTCAAGGATGATTCTTTCGGCTAACCTGTACATTAAACTTGCTTCAGTTGGCAAGGAAAGCTAAATAATCATTTGGAGATGCAGTTCAAAATAGACCAAAGTAAACTGAGAATACAAGCTTAAGTTCAGAGTCAATCCCAGTTACTGCATCTGCATGCATACTTAAACAGAGCTTCAGCATCTCAGTCAATCTTACTTGTGCATATCCACCCAGTTTACTCCTGGCTTCATCGCAGAGATTACAGAATTATGAGCATCCAGAACAGCCTAGAAGAAAGGTAAATCAGATAACCTAAATATATATAAAGCTTCAAGAGGCTCGCCAATCTCTGGATTGTGTGGGAAAACTTGACAAAAACTAAAGCACAGATTTCTACTACATCAACATTCCACCATTCTTGTAAGGCACTTACATTGTAGATTAGACTCTGGTCGCTTGTAAATCTACCATTGACCTGCACAAATTTGATAAATATTAGGCCACTTGCTCTAATTACTGAGTTCAACGCCTTATGATGCTCATGTAAACAGGATTAAAAACAAGTCAATTTGGTGCAAATACAATTCAGTAACACTCTTTAAGGATTCTGAATAAGTAACAGGACCTAAAAATGGAGACTATTCTAGGTTTGACGCTAGAAAAGAACTCACCGGGAATGAGCATGTTATGTCAGATGCATAAAAATGGTATTCACCACCCATATCAAGCAATGCCAAATCTCCGTCTTCAAAAGTCTGCAAGAAGTAACAAAACATTTTCAAACAGGGAATAGTGAGAGAATTAGAAAAGAGAAGAAAGATTGCTCTTTTACCCTATCATTTGGAGCTGCAGCATGCCCGTAATGAAGAACAGCACTGCAGACAGTTTTAACATCATTTTGTTAGTTATTTCAATTAAAACACCTGAAAATCCAAGAATTATTATTTCTGCATTTTCAGCAATAACAAGATTTATCCAACAAACTTACCTGTTCTCGCCTGTTGCACAAATGCATGTGTAAGAGCAATGTCTACAACCACCGTACATGTAGGTGTGATGCAAAAACATACTTTCCATCTGATATTCTTTCATGCCGGGTGTGACTCTCCTCATAACCTTAATGTGGATTAAAAAACATGAATAAAAGTTGGAAACGTGTAAGAAAATCACAAGAGAAGAAAACATTTCTACATGGAGTGGATAAGAAGAACCCAGGTGGGACCTAAGTAGTGAAATGATATAAAAGGAAAAAAAAACTGAACAAGCCAACAGAGAAGAACATCATTTCATCAATTTATTTCATTCATAGGTCTAAGTATAGTAGTATACCATTGGGAAAGGAAAACAATAAGTTCGAAAGAAAAAAATGCAATGAAAGCATATCACACCTCTACATGAGCTTCAGAACTTATATCATTTGCAAACTGTAACAACTGAAGCTCCAGATCTGACTTGATAACACGACATTCCGCCAAAATAGGATGTAAAGTGGTCAAATCAGTCTCAAACTTTTCTATCCCCTGAAATAAGACACAACAACAGTTAAAAAAAAAGTAGAAATGATATTCCAATTATCGGGAAAACACTGTGAGCATCAGATCCCAAAAATTCTTGATGACAAGACACGCCAGAAGATATTCATTTTCAGCACCAAGACAAGAAAATGGCAAGACCAAATCACCAGAGCATAGTTTTGCCAATAACTGAGTGGATTTTTCCAAAACAAGTGAAGAAGAAAAGATGAAATGCAGAAACCTCGAAGCTGGCAGGTTTTGAAAAGTTACTACTGTCAGTATTAAGGCCATGCAAGAGATATAACAGGGGATTTCCAGATCCCTTAAAATGTTCAGTGAAGACTTTGATAATCTCATCCACATAGAAAACCATGTCTACCATATATGTTTCCTGCCAAAAAAGCACAAAATGCCGTTATTTAAAAAGCGCAAAATTCATGCATTGAACAAAGTAACAAGACTAGAAAAAGTTCAAATAATAACCTTAAAGTGTGACAATGGCTTTATCTCCCCCAACCAGACAGCATAATCTTCAGGCAACCTTGGAATAAAAAGGATAGATTTCCCACTTGCAATGTCCTTTCAATAACGAAAGAGTATCAATTCATTGGTTAAGCAACACATTTACAAGAAAAAAATGGTAAACTGAATGTCTAAAATGAGCTATGAATGGAGAAACAGCTGTAAAACTCACTAAAGCTCCATAGAAATCAGGCTCTTTGACTCCAAACAAATAAGCAAAATAACTCTCCTGCCTGCATTGTCAAGTCAATTCAACTTAAATCGATAAAGTACGATTTTCAATCACCCTTAGATTTTCAAAAATCCGATACCTGAAGAGCTCGGCGTGATCAGTGCAGTACCGATTTTTCTCTTCGCCTCCCTATTTACCCAATAGT